AAAGAAAATAATATGCAGAAAATATTTAAAAAAATCTTAATAAAATCTTCCAAAATCACCGTAGCTTATTACGTAAGCTTACATCACCCTGAGTTCAGGGGTATTCCGTAATTGCACAAGTAAACGGATAAATATTGGGCCTATTATCTATACCTTATGGCATATGCCTAATTTCTACTATAGTACGGTATATTGGGCTAATTCACTCTTTTTATTAAACTATATAATGTATATTTAATGATAATTATAATTTGAAATCAGTTTACTACTGTTTTCTTAACGAAGATTATAACTTTGAAATTGGCCATTATATAATGTATATATATTTACAATGCTTACAATGTATTTTGAAAAACATTATATTATAAAATGTATCAAATTATATATTTTATTCCGAATTTTTAACCACCAGGATCACACACCTCTAACTGAATACTACAAACCAAAAATAAAATTTATAAATTTATAGATTGATTTATTCAAGCGTTGATTGATTTTATTTTTGCATTATGTATTTAGATCAATCATTGATTGATTTTATCTTAAGCACTATGTATTCCAATGTTGATTATGTGTAGAACTTTTATTTTAGTAAGACCATGTCACGAATTCATATTTAGAAAGTAAAACAGTGAGGGATTTCCTAATAATCATTGATTGATTTGTTAAGGGCAACCTGTGTAGCATTTTCGATAGCAACTAAGAGACTATAGTTCGCGATCATATCATGTAGCTAAGTTAATTAATTGATTTTATTCAAGCATTGATTTATTTTAGTTAAGCAAAACATATTATTCGGAACTTATTGATATAATTTGTCAATAAGTACTCAGAACAACATTCCAATTTTAAATACCTTGATTTCAATTTGTGATTTTTTACTTGATTTTAGACCATAACTATTCAACACCATTAACTCTATATTTTGCCTAAATCCTTTCCCAAAAGTACTATATATATCTTCCTAAACTAATCTGAGAACACACCATCACAACCTAAACATTTCTAAAACATCATCATCAAAAACTATAATTATTATCATCAGAATTTTATTATGAATTAAATAATTTTATTACCTATGATTTTTTCTCTTAAATTTATAATATATCTAAACAATTCTTTGCTTATTCTTATAGTTTTTTCATATAATAGACTTCAGTGCACCTATCTAATTACACAAACTTATTCATACAAAAAAAAAATCAATAAACTTATATTGTATAAATCTGCACATTATAGTAAAAAATTTCATTATATTGAATACTTTTTTATTCTTGACTTTCTAATTTCTATAGATATTAGGTAATATATGTTTTTTAATTCGTTCACTCCCCGCAGGGCGCGGGTTATCATCTAGTACTGTATTAAAAGGGAATCAGTAGGCGAAAAATCTACTTATATAAGATTACTTCACCTATTCATTAATGGTAAAATGTTCATTTATCTATTAACTACATTGGTCTACCTATTATTTCGCATATTATATATCTTACCATATATTACTCTAACCATAATTTATTCTTCTTTATTCCATATAATGTTGCATAAGTTTTAGTATCTATACTTAAAATCATACGTATTTAATATACAGACCTATCAAGCTATATGTAAAATCAAATGTTTTTTATATACGGACCTATATATTAATGTTTCAAAGTATACCTATATAAAATCACACGTCTTTCAATATGCTTTCATGTCAAATTAAAAAGAGACATGTATATATGTTACTGACGTAGAACACTATAAAACTGACATTAACCATGATAATATTATTGAGCTAGAACATTATAACACTGACCCAAATAAACCAACTTATGCATCTCAGAATTTATACACTTTATTTATACCATCTTATTCATCTCAAAATCTAATATTCAAGCTATTTCTACCACCTTCTTGAAGCTTTCTATCGTAACATTATAACATATTCGTTGCACTAGTATATATTCTATCCCCCAATCTCCATCGATATTTGTTTTGATGAAGCTAAAGCATCAGGCTCGAGTTATTATCCACCAATACATCATATAAAAACAAAGAAAACTGGAAAAACTATTTTAATTCATTCTTGGTATGATTCAAACAATCTTATAACGTTGGTAATACTAAAAATTTGACATAAATTCAAATTTTAAACTAGAGCCTGATATTGTCTAAATCCTTATCAAATATCTTTAAAATCAATTTAAATATATTGGCCAAATCTTTTAGTTACCAATATATTTTAGATACGAAAGTTAGTAACAAAATCTTGAAATATTTATATTTCTCTATCTAGAAGTCTTATTAAATAAGGACAATTTACCTTTTGGTGGGAAATTTGTTGTCCTAGGAGGAGATTTTAGACAAGCGTTTCTTGTCATTCATGGAGCTGGAAGAGTTGAAATTGTTATGGCACCTTTAAATTCCTCTTATCTTTGGAAACATGTTAAAGTGTTGAAGCTAACAAAGAATATGAGGCAAATGTCAAACGATTTATCCTCTGAAGAAACTTGAGATTTAGAAGAGTTTTCACAGTAGATATTAGATGTTGGAGATGGAAATATAGGTGACATCAATGATGGGGAGGCTCTAATCGATATTCCTGAAGAGTTTCTTATTCTTGATCCAGATGATCTGATTGAGTCTATAAGTAAAGATGTGTATGGTGATGTCATTTCTTTACAGCAGAATTAAGAATCTCAGTTTTTCCAAGAGAGAGCAATACTCTGTCCAACTAACCAAGATGTCGACAAGATTAATCATCACATGTTGGATAAGCTTGATGGTTAGTTATTTATTTCAGACTATATTATCATTTTCTCTTATCATTCAGATAGCTATAAGTTAAATGATTTATTTGTTGATCGATATTACAGGTGAAGAAAAGTTCTAATTAAGTTCTGATACCAGATAAATTTTCAGTTAATGATCAAGCTCTGACTCCAAATTTCTTAAACACCATCAAATTATCAGGTTTACCAAATCATTGTCTTCGGTTAAAGATTGGTTGTCATGTGATGCTGCTAAGAAACATAGATCTAACTGGCAGATTAATGAATGGGACAAGACTTTAGATTACAGAGATGTACCCTGGCATAATAAAGGCAAAAATGATTACATGAGATAAGGATAAGATTGGGTGAGTTGTTCTTATTCCTAGGCTTGCTATTACCCCTTCTGACAAAAATTTACATTTCAATATGAGGAGGAAGCAACTTCCTATTGTTGTCGCTTTTGCTATTACAATCAATAAGAGTCAAGGGCAATCCTTATCAGAAGTTGGCATTTATCTACCGAGGCCTATGTTTTCTCATGGCCAATTATATGTGGTTATCTCAAGAGTGACATCTCCAAAAAACCGAACCGGAACCAAACCGAAATACCCAAAACCGAAACCCGACCAAAATCCTCAAATATCCGAATGGTTCCTATATTTCTATGCCCAAAAAACCGAAGCGGAACCGAAACCAAACCGAGAACCAAACGGATACCCGAATATCCAAAAAAAACAAGTTAAATCTTTTTAATATAAGATAAAATGACATCAAGCCCACTTGAAACCAGGTTAGATACAAAGAGTAAATACATTTTTACCATCAGACAACATTGTCTTTTATTTATTCTCTTATATTATAAATATATATAGTAATTCTATATTAAAATACGATAAATATTTATAAAATTAACATTTTATTGATTTGAACTCTTGTTGAATTGATGAATATGTAAGCGTGTAAACACTAAACCATTTAAACTAATTTATTAACTAATATATTCTGTATATATATATTTGATTCATATATTAAACGGGTACCCGGAACCAAACTAAAACCGAACCGAAACCGAGCCGAAATCTCATAAGTACCTATTGGAAATAAGAATGATATACCCAATATACCCGGAACCGAATGGTTCCTATCCGGATCCGAACCGAATACCTGAATGCCCAGGTCTAGTGGATGATAAGGGAAATCCTCAGAAACAAACAATGAATGTCGTTTACAAAGATATTTTCCAGAACCTATGATTTGTTTTAGTATGTTGTTTTGATCTTCAGATACTATCTATTTTGATTCTATGCAATGAGTGCAAATGAGAGAAACAAAGAATTCTTATTGTTTACTAAGACATTTTGTAGAGAGCTTGGATAGGAGTTTTAAAAAATTTCTTGAATTAGTGGTGATTTCTTAATTGATGAAACCAACCTAAAAACAAAAATACATATGTAGAAAAGGAAAATTAGATTTCCTTTCCACTAAATCAAAACCAATTGGATTTTTTTCGATCCAGAACACTATTATTGGGCTTTAAGATATTCGAATATTGTTAAATTGCACTTTTAAAGATAACTTCTTGGGCTTTAACATTAATTTTAAAATTTATGGAAGAAAGAAAAATTAAAAAGCACAAAAGATTATATTGGGCTTTAATATATTCTAAAAGAAATAACATTTGATTATCCAACACTAAATTGGTTATTCATAAAACTTCTTAAGAAATCCAAATATCTTGAGGCCCAATAATATAAAAATAAAAATAAAATAAAATAAAAACACAAAATTACGATTTACTTACCATTGATGATTTACGATTTTGTCCATTAATCGACAAACCCTAATATCTTTCTATATAAACACTTCTCTTCACTTTTCTTATAAAACCCTAATACTTTTAATCTTCTCTATTTGTCTCTCCAAATATCGGTATGTAGTTTATTTATTCTCTCCTTCCTTTTATTTACTAAGAGCATCTCTAACATGTTGATCTATAGTTTGATTTGATATTTCTTTTGTTTGACAATATTCTTCTAGGGTTAGATTTTATGTTTATTTTTTATATTCAATTCTTATAATCTTCTAGAGTTAGATCTAACTAAAGAACACATGTTTTATTGTTATCAACTATTTTATCTTACATCTAGATTTTAAATATTTAGGGTTTATTATATTTGCATAATCCTTATATGTTTTGAAACTGATTTTATTGTTTTTGAACATGGAGAAGAATATCTCTCAATGGCAGGAAACCGAGATCTCAAAATGAAGGCTCCAATGAATGACGATTATGGTGAAACTCCATTAGATGGTTTCAACAAGGGGGTAAAAGAGACCACGGCTCATTATAGGGAAATACTAGCTATGTACAAGGAGATGAATGACGCCATTGAAGCAAGGCATCAAGAAGAGATTGAGGTGGTTCGCCTTCAAGCCAAACTCGAGGTACTTGACCATCTCAACGATTTGTTTGAACTCATCAATGAGAAGGAAAACTTAGAGTCCGAGCTTAGGCTTGCCGAAGCTAAGATGGATGATGTGAAAGTCCCTAGCATGGATTGGTTCAAGTTGGGTGAACCAAAAATGTGGTGATAAACATCTTCGTTTCTAAATCTCTAATCTTTTGCTTAATTTAAATTTTTATGTTTTTTGGAATAAGGTTGAACCATCTTTTGCTTGATAAGGTTTGCAACCGGGTTTGTTTAATTATGAACCAAAACATATTATGTTTAATATTTATTTGGTGATTTGCTTTCATATCTCATCGTATTTATTTATTATTTTATTTTTTGATTTATGTTTGAGTTTTTCATTATTTGTTTTGATATTGTTTTGTTAGTTATTATTTTAGTGATTATTGTTAGAATTTCGTAATTTGTCATGCCTTATTTAGTGATAATAGTTAGAATTAGATATCTTGTGTTAGTTATTATTTTATTTCTTAGATATTAGTAAGTAATTTGTGGTGTTAGATAAACAATTTTAAAAAATAAACATTAATATTTTCTTATATAGAAAGCGTGTTTTATTAAGTTATTTAGGTAATCTATGTTTGTAATGATTCTCTTTTGACAATAACAATACGACTTGTGTGACATGATTGAGATATATTTTATTTTCCATTGATATATCTTGTGTTGAAGCCAGTTTGAAAATCTTTTACAAGCATCTTAAATTGTTTGATGAAAGAAATAAACTCTATCATTTTCTAAAAATATTTATATATTTTATGAGAAAATTTATAATTTGATTATTTTTAAGTTTTGTTGTGTTTGTTATTATTATATTTCTTAGGTTAGATATTTTTTGTGGTGTTATATAATGAACTTCGAAATTTGGTTCATAGATCATCTTTTAGATATATAATTATTTGAAATTTTGGGGTTGTTATAGAATTTTATAGGTGATGTTAATATAAAGTAAAAGTTGTTATCTGAAGAATATTCGATTCTTCACATCGTACAATGGTTGTTGAAAGAAATATAATATATAATTTTTAAAAACAGATATAGATTTTATCTTGAGAGTCTTTTTACCACTTATTGCCACAAAAACTGTTCTATTGGAAACCGTATTGGAAACCCAAATTTAATCAGTTATTGCATAGAAATCGTAATGAAAACCCAAATTTAAGTTATCTATGTAAGATAATGATTTTTCTCTTTGAAAGTACGGATACATTTTTGTGGCATGATTGAAATTTTGAATAACATCTATACTGATATTGATGGCGAGGTAGATGTTTGATACAAAGACATGATTCAATATTGGGAGAATAAACTACTAATATACTAATATAATTATACTTATTATAATTCTATAGATAATCACATAATATTACTTATTCCACAAAGTTACATATTTTTCAAAAATTCAAATTTTAAGTTTATTGAGAAAATCTTTTAGTTAACTATATATTGTATATACGATATTTGTTAAAAACATCCGGAAAATTTTATATTGCTTCGTCTATTAAATTTATCTAATATCATAATTAGTTATTATTTTCCTTATACGTAAAGAATCAACTCTTACTAATTAAAAAAAAAATTATTATAATTATATAGAGAATCGCATAATATTCTTTATTCCACAAAGTCACATATTTTTTCAAAGTTCTGCATTTTTAACTGTTCGGTGTTATTGCTTTTATCGTTATCAAATATCTTAAAAAATCTATTTTAATGTATTGACCAAATATTTTAGTTACCATTTTAGAAAAGAAATTTAATAACAAATCCAAAATATTTATATTTCTTTATCTACAAGTTTTATTCAATATCATAGTTAGTTATTAATTTCCTTATACCTACAGAATTTTCGCTAACCTATTGGATTAGCATTAAATCTTGCAAATTAATAACGTATAATCTAATTACAATATACTCGCAAAAGTATATTCTGACCTACTTTTGCGTAACTTAAACTGGTCATACCGCCTACCTATTAGAAATATAACATCATTAACCACGGTATTCATCAAACCTAGAAATACAGAAGAAAATGGCGAACAATATGCAGCTTACTTTCTTGGACGATACCACTCACGTTCTAATTGATAATACAATGTTCTACAGCTGCTTTGACTTAAACAAGGCCTGTAATGTTGGTGGAAAACTAACTCCTGCTGAAATTTCTACAAAATCTATTTGGAATAAAAATGATCGCAAGTTTAGTGATAAAAAAAGAGGATTCAATATTGGGAGAATCAACAAAGCTCCACGAAAGATTGACGAGGTATTTTGTTTGCGTGTCTTGCTGAATATTGTAAGAGGTCCGACATGTTACGAAGAAATCAAAACGTTCAACAATGTTCTCTATTTGTCATACAAAGAGGCATGATTTTCTCGGGGTTTGTTAAAAGATGATCAATAATACATAGACGAATGTCTGATATTATATTAATTTTTTTTTGCTTTTCTATAATAATTTAAACCTATTATTATAATTTACAAGGAGAACTCCTCCCACGCAGTCTATAAATCATAAAAACAAATTGATAAAACAAGATAATTAACAAACCTATAAACATAAAACACAACTATATGATGTAAAATGCAAATTTCATAACTATTAAAACTATTACAAATATTCATAACTATTAAGAATATTCATCACAACAGGCAAGTAAAATGCCTGGTCAATCTTTCGTGGAGCGTAGTTGATTCTCCAAATATTTAATCCTCTCTTTCTATCAGTAAACTTTCGATCTTTTAATTCCAAATAAACATAAAACACAACTATAATATAAAACCCAAATTTCATAGACGACAAAAAAAAAATCCAAATTTCATAACTATTAAAAAAATAAATCGAAAACAAACCCACGCTTTCTAAGCGCGGATCAAATCTATTTTGATTTTATATTCTTTTTCTATGTTCCTCGTTTGAGTAATGTGAAGGTTGATGTAGTGGCAAATCAGTCTTTTTATTGCTAAACGTGTCTTATGTTCATGAATGTAGACTTTCGATTAATGAATATGTATGCGTTTGACCAAAAAAAAATCCTATAAACACAGAAACTTATAAATAAAGAAATATTCATAACATTAACTTGATTTGCTATTCGTTTTGATTTGATCTAAAAATTTGGATATCATTAATTCTATGAATCAAAACAACTACTAGTATTCAATATCCGTCGTAAGGAAATAAATACAAATACTCAAATTCTAAGGGGAATAACAGCATCAATCATATTTATATATGGCTATGTAATGAATATAATATTTGCAACAAATTTTTTTAATATTACAATATTATTAAAATAGATTTTTATTTTACGTATTTGAAAGTTTTGAATTATTAATTTTATTTTATTTTCTGAATTGAATATCTAGTTATAATATAATATATATATATATGTGTGTGTGTGTGTGTCGGATATCGCCTCTCTTCAGTCCTTAATTGATCTCTTTGTTTCTAGATGAGAAGTCTTAAAGATTGATATAACCTGACTTAGTCAGTTTCTTTCATCTGTGAACTATCCGGAAGCAAGCATAGATGCATGGCCAGGTAAAAAAGTGTTTATATACACATGCATCTTCCTCAAGCAAAAATAATATAAAAGATGTTTCTTTTTGTTCTATTTTCTTGTGAAGGGACTTGATCATTTGGACAACAACATTTTAATTTGTCTATACAGTAATACACTAAAATTGGATCTTTGTCTACTGTCAAGTTAGCAGTGTTGTTGTAATACTTTTGATTCAATTCCAGAGGACCAGTCTACACTTTATTTCTATAAGATCAATATTAAGCTAAAACAAATTGTGGTTTAAAGAGGACTTAAGAGTAACGTAACGAACAAGTAACACGATGAGTTGTTTTCAAATTGGTTAAAAGCGCTAGTCTAGAGTTTCTTCTTCATGTAATGGATTACACGAGCCAAGCAATTATTCAAGTCCGGTTCATGGTAAGTCTAAACTCGGATCACTCGATGTAGAACAACCCACTATCCCTTTTCAGATCGATCTCAACTCCTAAACTCTAGTTTGGGTCAAGCGCAATAGCAAACTTTAGAGATCAAGTCCGACACCCTCATATCCACTCTCGCTGATTAAGGATGCAAAGCTCACTCAAATCTTATCAAGTCGTCAACTACACGCTTAGAGAATAGATTAACCCTGATTCATGCACTAAGTGATCAGTTCAATGCAAGCAATAAGAACAGATTATGAATGTATACAATCTTAAGATAACTTATTTATGCCTAGCGCACGAATCAAGTACCCTAGAATCCTAAACTAACTCGGTGACTACTCGGTCATAACACAAGACCATAAAGACATGGATTCTGAATAATACTGCATTAAATTAATAATAGAAATAAAAGGATTCGGGATGATTTTCTATAAGATAGGAAGCCGTCTCCCTTACAAATCGTCAAATCCAAAGCTCTAAAAGATTCTTGCGTAAAAACTAAGGTAAAAATAAAGAAATAAGGAAAAGAATATATATATATATATATATAGAGGCCACATGCGGTTAGAGAGAAAATAGTAGGACGAACTAGGGAAAATCCCAAAATAGAATCTTTGTTTCCATAAGTATCGGGAAGCAGGCACTTGGGTTGCTCCGCTGGGTAGAGAACAGTCTGCTTGATTGTTCCAGTTGTGAAAACCTTCAAATCAGGTCATTTCTTGTATCTTTCGCTCCACACAATCATTCTTCTCTCCTAATACACTCCAGATCTGCACTGACTCAATAGGACTAGAAAGACTCGATAAAACTTGGAAAACCATTAGTAGAACATACAGTAAAACCTCTATAAATTATTAATGTTGAGACTTTCAAATCTCTATAAAATTATTTGAGAAGTCAGTTTCCTACGTGTCGCGCTCACGTTAACTCTTACGATGGTTGATTACATAGATACCCTTAATGAATTGTTAGATTTTAAGATTATTATTAATTTTTTATATAGTTTCCTTTTTACCTTTTCCCAAATAACATATATAAAAAAAGAAATATTTCTAAAATTTTAAAACGAAAATATATATATAATATGACTTTATTAATAAGGAAAGTTCACAAAATAGTAATACCTCCATTAATATATATTTTTAAATAAAAGAAAATATATTTTCAAAATAATAAAAATATATATGTTCATGAACATTCAAAAAATTTTATCAGTTACACTTTATTTTCTAATATATTTTTAAAAATCAACATATAATTTGATAACTATTATAAAAATACATGTATATCATACTTCAATTTTAATTTGAAAATATATTTAACTCAATATACTCACAAAATAAATGATTCTAATCTAATTTATATCCAAAATTAAACATCTAACTACAATAAGAACATATAATTTAATAATAATAATAATAATAATCTATTTAATTTTTTACATATAAATTAGAGGTTGACCAAAGAATATTAAAAAGAAAAAGAAAATATCAACCAATTACAATTAATTCTTTTGTAAAATTTATATATATATGCATGAGATTTCAAAATATTATCATTATATTCATTTATTTAATTTTGAATCAGACACTTCAGCTTATTATTTATTTCATTTTAAGCACAATATATATTAAGTTATACATAATTTAACTATAATATATTTACATATCTAAGAATATATTTACATATCTAAGACAATAACCAACCGAAATAAAAATAAGAAAATTAATCAAAGTTTTATTATATTTAGAATAAAAATATTATAGCTGAATTCGAAAAATAGATATTATCCATTATACCAAATTGATAACCAAACCGACTATTGATCAAAAAATATTTAAACCGACAATAATATATCTAGAGTCATATGTATAATTAGAATAATATAATATTTATTAAAATAAATTATACATATAACTTTATTCAACACTAAAACTAAATATCAATCAATTATTATAAAATTTTATTTTTATGAATATTCATACCCGTGCATGAGCACGGGAAAATCACCTAGTTTTATTAATTTATAGAGATATTAATTTACAAAAGTTTTCATTTAAAGATTTTTTCTATTTTTATATTTTTATTTTATAAATTAAGTAAATATATACAATGTGTCAAAAACACAATATAGCACACACCTTCTTGATCAAGCTTACGGAGACTACTAGTGAATAGTGATGTTGCATTAAAAATGATTTTTGCTCAGACAAATAGCGATTGTGTTTTACATACATTTTTTTCTCTTTAAGTACCCTTTCTATTCCCATTGTCATGGTCATTGAAGAGCTTGGGAAGCTAGTACATGCTCCTACAGCACAAGTCAACATAAGCTCAATTACATAACATGTGAACATGATTGCTCCAGCAGACGTCCTCTAAAGGGTAACATAAAATAAAATACTCGGTAATACACCAACTGATTTCCTAGATGTGAAAGAGAACTTCATTAGCAAGAACATAATTAGAGCTTGTCCTGTCTCAAACTGATCAATGATATATCATTCACACATAACAAGGCATTCAAGTTCTACTCTAGTTTTCCGAGTGGGGACTCAAAAGCATGATCATCAACTAGCCATAGACCAAATTCATGGAAGCGTTTCATCTTATTGTTGTAACCGATGATGTAGTTATTGTGGACTATGACATGCTTTTCCTTTGTCTCTTTAACCCATGTCTTGTTCTTGAAGTACAATCCTCCTGTTGGAAATGCTGCTTGCGGAAGCAAATATAGATCTAGCTGCAGAAGAGAAGATCACAAAAGAGTTTAGAATGAATTCAAACCAAATAAATTCTAAAACCGAAATCGAACATCCATAAGTAGATTATAGAAGAATACCTGATGAGCAGTTTTGTTGAGTGCCCAGTTAAAAGCAGGCTGATCATTTCCTTCATATGCTCTAGAACCAGCATGAAGTTCCTGAATCCATTTCTTCATGAGAAGCTTTGCTCCATTCTTGGGACGCAAGAAAATCATGCAGCTACATATATAAGTCACTCCGTTTCGATCCGGAGGTGGTAAACAATGGGAATGATTCAAAGGCTTAATCTGGCACCAAAAATCATTCCGAGAACAAATATTTAATAAATAAATTAAATTAAAACTCTATAATGTCAAGGAGATGTGTGAACTGAATTTCACATACTCTAGCCCTGTCATCGGTGAAGTATGCGTCGTGGCTTCCTTGTAAATACTGAAACGGATCTTGCAACCAGACCATATCAACATCGTTGTACATCACATTATAGCCTAGCTCCAAAAGTTGCAAGAGGTGTTGCGGTCTCCTAGATGTAAAATTGAAGAAACCCTAAATTTGGATGTTATAAAATTAGTTGCAAGATAGGTAATTTATATCACATTCTGAAACAAAATCATATAAAATCGTTCAAACACAAAAAAAATATATATATATGTGACACTATTATACCTTGGAACCAAACTTATGTGCTGTCTGAGAGTTGAGAGCTGGGGGAACGAGAACGGCATGGCCAGGCCACTTGTTGTTAATCTTATACAGAGTAGCGTAATCCTCAGCGATCACGAGGACTTTGTCTTGATGCTTCTGTCTAGAAACGCTAATTAACCAGTTGTTGAGGAAAGGCAGGAAGGGATAGCTAACGGTGCAGACGATCACAGTCCCGTCCTTACCGACGAACTTGGCTGCTTCAGCTAGAGAATAGTTGCGCCAGTTTATGGGCAAAGAAGAAGGAGAAGAAGAGCTTCTGTTTGGAAACATGAATAAGGGAGATCTTGCCCAGGGTAAGAATACACCGAGGATGACGAGGAGAGCGACTAGGAGAAGGAGACCATCGCGGCTCATGAGAGATATATGACGACCCTTAGAACTTGAAGAATAAGAAAGAGGAGAGGAATTTAAAAGCTGATGCGCCATTGTTGAGAAGGAAGATAAGGTTTACTTCTGATAAAATATGAACGTCGTGGGTATATATATATATATATATATATATATATATATATGTATGTATACCATATGCTGTTTTTACTAAAGTAGAGAAAATAATAACATAATACATATGTTAAGGAACAACCATATATGATTAATGTACTAAGTGGAGAAAATAATTACATAATATATAAAATTGTGTTCCAAAAAAAAAAAAATTACATAATATATATATGTAAGGAACTACCCTATATGCTTTTTACTAAAGTAGAGACAAATAATAACATAATACATATTTTTTTTTTGTAAAAAACATAATACATATGTTAAGGAACTATCATATGCTTTTTTAAGAAAAAAAACATAATACATATGTTAATCATAATAATCTTTTACTAAAGTAGAGAAAAATAACTACCATATGTTTTTACTAAAATAGTGAAAACAATAGCATAATACATGTCGCGTAACAACATAATACATGTTTCCCTTTTGTTTCACTAACAAGTTTGATCAAGTTAGCATTTCCTTAATCATTTTCAAAAGGAGATGAAAACACAATTAAGAAACATTAGATTGTCAAGAGACATTGAATTGCTAACTTGTAGAGAGGAAAGCACTACTTTGTACTAATTTAAAAATCGATATGTATTGTTTTTAATCATTAATTAATATGTTACTTCAAAAACGTTCTATGACTAGTAAATAGCATACTGCTAAAAAGTTTCTCCAGTCAAGACTTTCAGGCTGTGAATGGTTACGGCTGGACTGGTGCAATTTTGTGTTGGGCGGGTTTGATCTCCACTCAAAAATATTATATAAACAATAGGCTGTGGTTACTGAATGATTAAAAATGAAAATATTATTTATATCATTGTTGAGAATCATGCATGTTTTAGAACGGCAGCATTCTTTCTTTTTAAAGGTCTTCAAGATTGGCAAGCATTCATTAGATTTAAATCAAAGAAAAATATGAGAATCTCCCATGTAACCTGGGAAGTAACCAGGAAGGTGATTTGACATTCTCCAACATTACCTTGCGCAACAAAAAAAAACCACGAAAGTGATAAATCTTTTTGAGAATTCGGCCAAAAAAAGCACCAACTTTGCACGAATGGCCAAAAGAAACCTCTGGATTCGAACCCGGGTTGATTGAATCAAGTGGTAAAGTAGTTTACCACTAATCTAGTGCCACATTCAATGTAACTACTAACACATTTACTTATATTTAGTACTGATTGAATATTAAAAGAATTCTATAAAAACTTTAAAAATCTTTAAAATTTCAAAACAAATGAAAAAGAAAGAATTTTTTTATAAAATTAATTTAGAAATTAAAATTAAAATAAAATTTTATTTTTCTTTAAAAAATCAGACGGGAACTTATAAAATTTTATTTTTCTTTTAATGTATCTATTAACACATTTACTTATATTTGGTACTGATTGAATATAAAAAAAACTATAAAAACTTTAAAAAATCTTTAAAATTTCAAAAAAATGAAAAAATAAAGATTTTTCTATAAAATTAATTTTAAAATTAAAATAAAATTTATTTTTTCTTTAAACTAAAATTTTGGAAGATTTTTGATTTTTTTAAAGAAAATAAATTTTATTTTAATTTTAGTTTCAAAATTAGTTTTATAAAAACTCTTTATTTTTCATTTTTTCAATTTTTAAAGATTTTTCAAAGTTTTTATAGAATTTTTTTTATATTTAATCAGTACCAAATATAAGTAAATGTGTTAGTAGATACATTGAAAAAAAAAATTTTATTTTAATTTTAATTTAAAAATTAATTTTATAAAAAAAACTCTTTATTTTTTCATTTTTTGAAATTTTAAAGATTTTTTAAAGTTTTTATAAAAAAAATTTTATATTCAATAAGTACCAAATATAAGTAAATGTGTTAGCAGGTACATTGAATGCGCCACTAACCCAGTGGTAAACTACCTTGCAATTTGATCCAATCAACCCGAGTCCATTGGTCTACGGCTTTTTATTTTCAAATCGCTTAAAACGACGTCGTTTCATCTCAATTGAAAACGACGTCGTTTCATCTCAATTGAAAACGACGTCGTCTCATCCTAACGGCAACAATTAACAACGTTAATTTTTCCTGTTAAATTTGCTGACGGCGTGCCAAATTGGCAAGTCAACGAAAACATTGTTAATTAATTCGAAAGTCAATGAAAAGTTTATGTTTTTTTTGGTCAGGCCAAAAGTTCAGGTTTCTTTTGGCAATTCGTGCAAAGTTCGTGTTTTTTTTTGCCGAATTCTCAAATCTTTTTTATGTTGTGGTTTTTTTTCGTAACACTTTAAAATGCTTCATTGTATTATTTTTTCTTCTAATTTTCTTTCTAAAAGCTTGAAGTAATCAAGTATAATTACTAATACAATTTTCGAAAAGTTTTAAATCGATTAGCCAAATTCTATAAATAGCTTTGTTATTTCACATTTGTTTACTGTTGATTTGTTCTATAATATCCATTTTTATTAAAATTGTTATAAACATTGTACCATCGAAAATTTAGTACAAACCATATTTTACCATCTAAAACACAGTTTTTGATATTTTATAAACTGAAGAAGAAAATTTATGTCGAAATGGTAATTTTTTTTTTGGTAGCACCATGTCGAAATGGTAATCATGTGAGTGATTTAAAGACTAACTAGATTTTGATCCGCGCTTGAAAGCGCGGAAATTCTTTATGATTAAAAATTTATATAATTATGTTTTGTCTTTGTTTAAATTATGTGTTGGTATAAATCAGTAATCCAAAATTTTTGGTGATGATTGTTTTGGATTAGTTTTTAATTTCATATTTTAATTTTAGATCTGATTTTAGATTTTGGTTTTTGGTTTTTAGTTTTTAAGTTTCTATTTTTGATTCTCAGCTTTTGGTTTGTGTTTTTAATTTTTGGATCTGCCGAGTTAGTTTGAACTGATATTACCAATAAACAAATCCCAAATAATCGAACATATAATTTAAAACTGAAAAGATGAAAAATAAATATTTTAAAAAAATTGTAATAGTTTATTTTGTAAATAAACATAACCAAAAATATAACTTACGCTTTCAGCTTTTGGTTTTAGATTTTAGTTTTTAGATTTGGTTTTTGGTTTTGTTTTACATTTATTTATTTTTAAATCAGTCAATTATTTAAGAAAAATAAAACAATAAACTATTTAAAAGTTACCATTGAAATTTATCAAAATAAAGTGATTGTTATTTAAAATAAAAATACATTAACATGTTTTAAAGTACATGATTTAAATAAGTGATTAATAATAGACAATTTGTTTTGTTAAAAATATTAAATATATTTGGACCTGAAAATAATAATTTATTTTTTTGATCAATTAAGGTGGAAGTTTATTTAATGTTTTTTGGAGTTTTTCCTTAATACTAAGCCCAAAAACCTAACCATATGATTTGTCTTAAAAATAAAAGTAAGCCCAAGACTCTATCCCATAAATAACCGCCGTTTAATTTAATTAATGTGGTTTAATCAATTATATGACTTGTATTATTTGTAACACTTTAGAAAGAATTCAAATTTAAATGACAACTTGTATCTGTAGATAAAAAGAATGACTCTATTTTAATAGAGTAGAAATGGGAAAATATAAAGGAAAAGGCTGACAGTGACTGAACAAAGGCTGGACCGGTGCAGTCTTTGGGCTGGGTCCTGGGTGGGTTTTAATCTCCAGTCAACAATAATAACAATAGGTTGTGTTTATCGAATGGACTTCTATCGAGAAATCAATTTCCTACTTATCTTTGTTTTTCTTAATTTTATGTTGTAAAACTTAGTATAGCCATAATCAAAGTGCATAAGAAAAATCTAAATTTTGATTTTTAAAACGATTTAAAACAGTTTTAGTTTGGGTTTCAATAAATCTAAAGCATAAAATTATTTAGAATTTAGAAAATATTTTAATTATTGTAAATATTGATATGCGTTCATGAGCTTCCAAAATTACCAGTGATATTTATACTTATATGTGTAACTTCCTATTGATTATAAATATTATGAAACTATTTTCACATATTTAACATATATAAAATTATTAAAAATATTATAAAAATACTTACACATTTAAGCGATAATAAACTGATTTCATTTGACTTAATTAGAATCAAAATAATTATACTCACGTTTGAATCTGAAAGAATATATGCAACTCAATATACTCACAAATGAGTAACCAGACTAATCCAATTTATATCCAAATTTAAAGATCTAACTACAATAAAGCATATAATTTTATAATACTAATTTATTTATTTTCCTACATATACATAACATGATGACTCAAAACCTATTAATATAGGAAAATAATTTTTTGAGTAATTGTTACATTTCAGTTCTTTTGTAAAATATATATCGGCATGAGAATTCAAAATATTATCGTTATATTCATTTATGTAATTTCACTACAAGAAAACACGTCCTTTACTAGGACGGGTTTTCCTCGTTATTTCCTAGTAAATGGCCCTTTACTAGGAAATAGCGAGGAAACGTGTTTCGTCGAAAGACGTTGTTCATAAAGGCTATTTTCCTCGTAAAAGCCTAGCTACTTTACGAGGAAAGGTTTCCTCGTAAAGCCGTGGAAAAGTTTTCCTCGTAAGCTCCACGTACACTTTCCTCGTAAGAGCATAGTAAACAGTTTCCTCGTAAACTCGTAGTAGACTCTTTACGAGGAACTTGCTAGGAACGTTTACGACGAATTTACTTCGAAAC